TAGAAATACATTTTCTTCATACTCTACCAACCGGAAATTACATTGAATAGCTATGAAATGTCACGATAAAACATATGTATTGTGTTAGGTATAGGATTTTTACCCATATTCAGTAAATTTCTGCTACCAACCTAACAAAACTAAAAGTATTTTTTAACGCATTTAAAGTAGGGGAATTCCAGATATTTTTGGATGGCAACGGCGCGTGACGTTGCATGACTTGTATGAACATTTCCATTTTGTTATTTTTTGCTGTCGTCAGAATTATTGACACATGACATTCTGGTAAATTATAAGAAAAAAATAGGCATTGACAACATTTTCTGTCCTTGTTCTATGACGTCATCCTAAATATAACATAAAAAAACCTATAATTTTAACCACGAGATTTTTTACAATGGCGGGTGATGGCAAAAACCGTTACCACCAAGGATTGAAAACAAATGCATAAAGCTCCATTCTTAGTTGCGCGAAAATCGCTCTTTTTTTGTCATTGCTTCGACAATTTGACGTTTTATGTATCAAACGTCATATCGATGGTTCACTTTCCACAATATGTCATACCTACGCAAATATATTGTCATTGTTGTGCTTTTGTCTCTCTCCTACTCACGATATATGTTTGACATTTCAATCCAATGACGTCACAGAATCTTACCATAGCTATGGTGGAAGTTACCATAGACATCTATGGGAGTGGGCCATCCATTTTACATGAGTATTTCCCTTCTGTCAATTTTGACAGTGTAGAAAATCACGTGGTTCAAATCACCTAATATGTTTCATCGTGACATTTCATATCTATTCAATGGCTTTTCCGGTTGGTAGAATGAAAGCACAGAAAATATATTTCTATCTGTTTCTTGAATAGGCTAAGAGAAAGAAATAGAAATACATTCAGTGTGAATTTAATGTACAATCGGAAACGCCATTAGACAAATATCCCAAAATATTCCAATTCTAACAGAACCTTGCTGGTATTTCCGAAACCTTACTATTTAGATATAGGAACAAGAAGATAATACATTATTTGTAAGGGATTTTTATTGCCTTTTATCTTATTTCATAATATACAGAGTGCTCTATTTGAAAAAGTGCAATCCAATATTCCGTTTTCCATAGGCCTCTAACGTACCATCGATTATCAATCACCCTGTATAGTTCATAATTGATATTCAACTTGACGTAGCTGATGTAGCTTGACAAGTGATCGATTTTGAATGGTGAAAGAAACTTCAAAAGTTGTTTGAGTTTTTGAACGGCCTTCCTCTTTCCCTTTTTATCCCGTACAAATAAGAAGGATGGACTGCTATACGTAAGTCTAACGATTTGGTACGTTTTGCCTCGTCTTGCGCAATAAGCATTGCTGCGTCTTTCTGAATTGAAACTACTAGGCGGATTTTTGGACGACAATAGAAAGTGATTTGAAAAACGCGTCACGAGCAAATTTCGTTACTCGAGAGAGAAGAAAGATCTGTAATGATCCGGCAAAATAGTCCCGATATTAACAATACTGTAAAAATTAAATGTAATAAAATAATCAAAAACTGAATTTCCGGTATTTCAAATCAGTATCAATAAATTGAAAATGAAACAAATTAACGTTGACCCCAAATACGTTCAAAATTATATTAGGTATTTCGTCACCAAGCCTGTGTCATCATCTAAATTCCTAAAAATATTAAAAGCGAGGCCATAGTAATTAAATCAATGATTTATGGCACACGTGTGTCGGCTTTCTTTGTGTTGCCCTCACATTCTTAAACTAAAGTTTTTGACCCCTATAAATCAGGAAACTGCAACATAATTATTCGATTTTAAACAAATAACAAAAGAGATTGCATCATCCTCACAATTGTGATGGACAAAGAAATTTTTGGGGGATCGAATAATATAAATACAGCGGTTTCAATTGAGATCGGCAATTGTCAGATCAGTTCGCAGTTCAGTCCAGTTTGAGTTAAAGTCTACAGTACCTAATGTGTCAGTCTAGGTAAAATTCGCGAAATTTTCTTTTAAGGCCTCGGGGAAAACGCGTTTAATTTAACTTAGAAAAAGTACGGAATATTGTGAAAGAAAGAACATTTAAAGGCGTTCAATATTATGTGCGAGCTCTAGAAATTTTGAGTAATTAATTGAGTATTTTATCGAGTGACAATTTGAATGTAAGTACTTTAGTGATTATTAATGTTTTTCTGACTTTTAACAATGATTCTGAATGATAAGAAGTGACAATGACTTTTAATGCCTAAAAACTTGAGTTATTTTGACTAGTAAAACTTTTGACTTTATAAATGATAAATAACTATGAAGTGAATTAACTTTGGAACTTTATTGCATAAATATTAATAATTCGAGTGTTTTGACTATGGAACATTATTGCATAAATTTAATTGCCTTCGAGTATAATGACATTTTAATTAATTTTGCAAAGAACTAAAAGGGGAGTTTATAATGCACTTAACAAGTATCGATTTTGAGTAGGAATTATTAAAGAATTTTGAATTGGATTGTCCAAATTGAAGTTTAAGGGCTATAGTAACGAATCTAATAGGAATTAAATAATAGGGTACTTGCATGGAAACTTAAATTGATTATTGTCTATTGCAAACTGTAGGAAATCGAAAAAAAATCGTTACTTTTTTTTTTATTTCGCCCAAATATGATTATTTCGGAAGTTATACAAATATTAAGATTTATATATATAGATATACTGAGCATGTGCAACGTCACTTATTTATTAGATAAGTGACGTCATAGGCAGATTTCATAGCGTATCTCCGTCAATTTTTGACTAAGAAGAAAAAGAAAAAACACGTGTTGACTTATTTTTCATGGACTATCGAAATCAGCAATAAAAAAATTTGATGCAAGGAGCCTATTGTGTTTGTTGGCTAGGAATCCGAAAATAGTAATTGTTCTAATTTAAATAAACCATTATATGTAAATGGGAAGTTTCGAAATGAAACTTGTTGTTCATGAAGAAACATTGATAATCTTAATTGCTGAAATTTTGAATTAGGGTTTTTAATTTTCATGTAGAAATTAATTATTGTATGGTTTTCATAAGGATATAGTTGTAATACCTATATACTTAATCCAGTGAGTCGGATTATGACTTATATATTCATTTTGAATAAGCAGTCAGTAAATGACTTAGGAATTTTAAAGAATTTATAGATATAGGTGAAGGGTATTTTTAATAGGAATGTGAATCGCAAGTGTTGAAATGTATAAACGTATAAGTTATTGAGAACAATAGGAGTAGGGCGTTTTTCTTTCATGGATATTTCCTGGTCCGTAATAATGACATTTGAACGGATGTGAAATAATTTGAATTGGGAAAATTAGAAGTGGCTGTCAGAATTGAAATATATTTTGCTATGATATTTTACTTATTTAAATTTTTGGTTTTATGTATAATAAGATATAATTTGTTAAATCTCAATAGTTTGTTTCTCTCTTTTGCGAATAGACCCTCCACAATTTTATAGGTAGCAGCTCCAAGGAAATAAACACCATCAATGTACCGCTCGCCATTTAGCATCTAACCAATTACATATAGCGTTTTCCATTTGTCGAATCAGGGCAAAAAAAATGTATCCTTATCCTTACATGTCACATGCCTTTAGAAAAAGATGCGAATATACACTCAGTTCGGCACTGATGACAAATGGAAATCGCCAATAGAGTACTTGGGGCGTTTTGCTACAGATCTAACGTAAAGAGACGGAGAAAGACAGCTATTGATTGACACAAACCAAGACTACCAAAACTACAGATGAGCTTCTCCCTTTTGTTATAGCATTATCATTGTGTTTTGTGATTATTTCCGTTATTTATACATTACATATTTGTGTCCTGTCCTTTTTTTTATTTATTTAAATAACTTCAAAAATAAAGAAATTATGACAGTTTAAAATATTATCAAGATAAAATGACCACACTGTACTATGTTGTATTTCTTTTGAAATTCTCTCTTTTTCTCTATCGCACCTTCAATCTCTCTCATTCCCTGGTTTTTAAGAAGTTTCACTTCTACCACGTGTACGGTACTACACACGTGATTTTTTTTATCTAATGAAGTTGTCGTATTATTTTACCTTTGTCTAGTTAAATAAATAGGTCAATTGATAGGCTGACTTCACATTATCAACATCCCAGTAGGCTACTTAAAGTGTTACGTTACTCTCACTCTGTCCTTATGGGATGGAAAGAGATATACATAAAAATATGACACTGTTAAAGTCTCATAGATTTTTGGCAAAAATCATTAAGAATTTGAAACAAATAATGATAATAATCAATCTATTATTAAATTACAATAATAACAAAATTAAACGCACTCAATAATTCAATCGAAATTCCCCCATTATTTAAATTTCAAGTATTTTTAGTTGAATTTTCAATCGGCTATAAATATTTATTCAATTGAATGTTTTTCTCGTACTATAGAAATGAAAAACGTGGGTTTTCAAGCGCCTGGAAAAATTTTCGAAAAATGTGATTTGAATTTTACAAAAAAAAAAAATATTTGGCCATAAATGGAGCTTTTAGCGTTTTGTCCCACCGTAAAAATTTATCCAGAAATATTTCAAATGCATAATATTCAATTTCCATTATATTTTTTCTACTATTTGGTTTGGAGGAAAATCGCCTTTCCTTTTGTTATTCTATGTCTAATAGAAATGAATCAAATTTTCAATCATTTTGCCTGGACTTTAATAGAAAATGGTTACTTTATTCAATGAAACCAATCGTCCGCTAAAAGCCGAACATCAGATGAAAATTTATTAAACTGATGAATTTCTATCAAAATATCACTACATGAAATTTTGTTGAAATTATGATGCAAATTTTTTTTTTATCTACTTACCTAAATTGTTCTATAATCTATTCATTATACTATAGTATAGTATATATTTTTAATTATAATAATATGTATTATTAGGTACCTATACCATAGTGTTTCATGTAAAAATAAATTAAAAAAAACTTACCAAAGTTGTCTTTGAAAAAAACTTTTTTAATACGTCGTGTATATTTGGAAAAACTACCCCCGATTTCAACAAGCTGTCTGCTCTTTCGCCGGCAGGACACTAATGCCTGTTGTTCTCGAAACTCTCTTTGCCAGCGGAAAATTTTTAGTCGAGGCTCAAAAATCCAGAAAAAAAAAAACGAAACACTTCTCCAGACTGGATACCTATTGAAAATTAAATTATACCTAATCAATTAGACGTCTGAGAATACATATTATCAAAATTTGGTTTGATTTTGATTTTAAATCTACTTTGGATAATCTGGAAGCTAGAATTTATTTCAATAGGTATAAGAATCTAATAATGCAAAAGCTGGAAGTGAGCCATGAAAATGTTTATAATTATGATTAGATGAAACAAATATGCTTTTTCACTGACCGAGGTGATTGATTTAGATATAAATTTGAATTTAAAATTAATGAATCTCTAATGGACACGATCAAGTTCTGAATTCAATTATTGAGTAAATTTAATGTATTTCTAGTAAAAATTTCGGAGCAAAATTCATGACACCTGTTACTTCATCCCTGGATAACATTCAGGCTTGGACTAAAAACGAAAAACTCGTTGTAAATCGATAGAGCAAAGAGAAGGATGAGAGAAAGTCCGCGTGGCTTTTTCGGGGGGCTTCCCGGCAACCAATAGCCAGACGTGCCTGATATTGTACAACATCTGACTCTGGACTACCTACCTGTATGCTTTTATAGAGTCCATCATTCGAAATATCCGGGCGAATTTTTTGCTAGATACTATACTTTTGCTCTGGATCGATAGCAAATCTACCTGGAATTAAAACTATATATTTTTCTGATGTGGAAATTTTTGAATTAATTTCCCTTGTTATTCCATCCACAAACGCGTTTCGACCTATCAGGTCTCGTCAGTATGGCTATATTATTATATTATATTTTTTTTCCATAAATAATTTTGAAAAGAAACATAATTACCCAACAAACTTCTGGCAACGTGTATTTATCAAATAATTTCTGATGTACTTTTTATTCATTAGTTCTAAATTGACAATAAATCACTGTATGAAGCTTCTGGGGTCTCAATTAACATTATCGAATTTTTCCCTCTCTGCAACATTATTTTGTAACGGTCCTCGCTGGACCCTTTTCTCCCCAAAAAAGGGATACTTAAGTGAAATTATAAAATTGAGCTGTCCCTTTTAATGAAACTGTTTTCGAATAAATTTTGTTCCATTTCCACTCTAATAACCATTATTAATTATAAAAATATGTATAATAACTTATTATGATTCGATTAATTAATTTTCCCCTGGAACTGGAAACCACATTGAACCTCCAAAAGCAAAAAAAAAAATACCTTTCAGAACTGTAGAGGCCTCTATATACGTTTTGCCTCTATACAAAAAAAAATTAGATTAAAGCCAAAGGAAAAAGGTTTTCATGAATAGAAACATATAAGTACAATAAAAGACACCCTAGCTTTATATTTTTTGGGTATCCTTTTGTATTTTGTATTCAAAACTTTTTTTGGAAAAGTAATTTAAATTACATTTTAGAATTTCTCTCTTAAGGCTAAAAATCAAGGAAGTTACATGCTCAGAATTGCCTTATTAATCTGCTTAATTTGCTTAATAATTACAAGATCAAACTAACTTACCTTAGTGAAGTTCGATCTTGATTTTATGAAGCGTATTTCCCGAAATTAATCACACACGCAGTACTTGAATCTGATATTCGTGAACGCATCATATTTTTAAAGAAGAAATCTGTAAAAAAAAAAAAAAACTTTTTCCCCTTTTTTCCTGTCGGTAACGGACTGTCATACTTGTCATCCGTTGCTCGCGGTAATTTATTTGAAAGAAAATTTTCTTAAGGTAATATTCAGGTGAAAATATAGAGGCGTCTGTCAATTTTGGACCAATGGGAAGCGAATTACAGCGATAATTTTGCACAAGTGCAAATTATCGATAATTTGCACAAGTGCTAATGCCGATAATTTTTTGCGGGTATTTTTTACCTGACTCAACGAATTATTATCAGCTTTGTACACACTAAATTAGACACAAATTATCAGCTTTCTATACAGTAGATTAGACTATTTCCAAATCGACGTTTGAGATCTTTTCGTATTGATCGACGTAAGGTCTTCGATACGAGCCATATTTGCTTACAAATTCGAAAATGAAACCTTTGACAAATTTGTTGATTGACAACATAGCAACATAATGATTGTTTTAAACAAGGTCCCTAGTAAAATACTGCGAACAGTTATAATGATTCAGGGAATTTTCTTATAAAATATTACTCGTGCAATGAAAATATATCTATAATTTTCATTGCACTTGTTATATTACTACTGAAAATATTTTTCAACAAATAAATAAGGTAGGGTTGATAAACGGGAGGACGGGACGAAAAGTGATTTATTTCGGGAAATACACTTCATAAAATCAAGATCGAACTTCACTTAAGGTAAGTTTGTTTGATCTTGTAATTTTATTTCAGCGTACTTCCCTCATAAATCACACACGTAGATCTTTAAAGTAAATATTTATTTGTTGTAAAATTCAAAAGTTTGTCTTCTATTCCTTTCCTTTAATTTTCAACAAAAAAGCACACTGTTTCAAATAAAACATTTTTCCTTTATTGCATAAACTAAATTCTATGTAACAACTCAATCAATACAATGTTCTCTCAAGATCACATAATATTATATAATATTATACAAAATAAAAGATCAATTCTTAATAATTCCTCAAAAATTTCTTTGGTTTTCTGAATTCAAAATCGTAAGTATGGTTATTTAATTTAACAAAGGCTTATGTGAGAATGTATTGGACTGAGAAGTCCAACCAGCAGTCTTTTTGATTACATCTAAAGACACTCCACACCTAAATGCCGCGGAAGTACCAGCGTGTCTGGTGCTATGCGCGGTGAACATGTTCGTGTCAATTCCGCTAAGTCTTAATACCGTTTTCATCCATCTACTCAGTGTCTGTGAAGACGCTGCCTTATAAGGCTTTTTAAAACATAAAAACAATTTTTTATCCGATGTTCTAATGTTCTTTGTGTTTTACAGGTAACTGCTTAATGTTAGGCACGGACATCTTTTGGGGTCATTATGCTTATCAATAGATAATAATGGCTGTAGCTTGTTTCTTCCCGAATTTTTAATCCGATCCTAATTTGAAATCCCCTATCTGTCGATTCGATATTTTCTATGTCGATAAGAGATAATGTCTGAACTCTATGGGCAGTAGCCAAAGCTAACAATGTTACATTCTTGTACGTTAAAATCTTTAAGGAAAGTTCCTCATTTGGATATAGAGTTTAGTTTCCAAATATACTCGGGCCAGAGGCCCTCGGCTTTGTAAGAATGTCGCCCTCAGGGCATAATCTTCTACTTAGTACCCTTGATACATAAATAACTATTATGTGTGTCAAATTAAAGATGTCAATAAGTTGATTTAAGGTCTGATCGAAAATCACATTGATAGGTGTCAGAGTTGAGACCGCGGGCCCTTGCCCCAATTAGCTTTCTTGCCTCCTTTTTGCGGCAAATTCTCACGGCGCAGGATCGACTTTTTAGATAGAGGACATTGAGACCTTCAATCTGATACTCTACTTAGGGTATAACTCGATGGGGGTAGTGTTATGTTTTTTTTCAATTTGTTAAAAGATATTTCCGGCAGCATTCGCTCTCAGGCAGGAATACCGTTTAATAGATGCACATAATACTATACCTATATTGATAATAGTGTCGACACATAACTGGATTGGGCTAGGAAAAATGCGGTCGTCTCCCTAACTAAGTGGAAACAGGGACGTAGCGAAGGCCTCTGGTTTGGGGGGGGTGACATTCCTAATTTTCCCAACTTTATTGAAACATAAAAAAAAATCATGTGCATTGTACACTTGTTAAGAAGTGAAACTTCTTAAATACGATTCTCTCCTTCATACAACTTTTAGACTTAGCGCATGAATCAGGGTATCTGTAGTGACGTCACAGGGGTATCGGCGCTTGACAATAATAGGCAATCGTCTTTGCTTATTGTCCTTGGTTTGTGTCAATCGTTCGTCGGCTATCATTGTCATCGGCTGTCTTTCTTCGTCTCTCTACGGGCCGGTTTCTCAATAACGAGTCACCTCAGGGTTGGTTTTGACTCCAGAGTAAGCGTGTCCAGTTGCTGTTTACCCTGGAGTTATGTTTAATCCGGAAATGACCTGCTATTGAAAAACCGGCCCTACGTTATATCTTTCCTCTTTCTCTCTCGTGTAACGAAATTTGACAAAACGTCGTCACCTGTAACGTGACGCGTCTTTCAAATCAAGCTCCATTCTCGTCCAAATCGGACCGCCGCTAAGAAGTTTCACGTTTCACTTAAAAAAAATCATGTATATAATAGAATCGTACACGTGTTAAGAAGTGAAACTTTTCAAAAACTATACCCTCCCTCATACAGCATTTAGACTTAACGTATGAGTCGGGGTGAAGACGAAGGGCCACATAAAAGGGAGACTCACAAGAGTATCGGCGCTTAACAATAATAGGCAATCCTGTTTGCTTATAATCCTTGGTTTGTGTCAATCGTTCCTCGTCTGTCATTGTCATTGGCTCGCTTTCTCCGACTCTCTACAGTCTACATTATATCTTCCTCCTCTGTCGTCTCTCGTGTAACGGAAAAGATATCAGAACACGGCCTGATAGTCCAGGAGGTGGCATCGAAAACATGCAAGAGTTTCCTACTCTATACCTGTCAAAAAAATGTCAACACACACACTTCAAAAACTGATGAAAAGTTTGACATGTATAGGTATATTCCAGACCTACAAATAATATAACCAAATAAAATAAACACTGTATAAAAAATCTGTATAAGAAAAATGTTTGAAAAAACCAAAAACTATTTCTTCAACTAAAAGAGCACAGGATTCAGAGCTTTGCTAAAATCTGAATAGCGAGCGAAGAATGCGCAGAACGCAGAAGGCAACATAAATAAGAAGTTTGGATTATCTAATATACTATATTGTCCATCTCTCTCAAACACGACGCGCACGCAACAACAAGCTATAGATATAACTACGTCGATCGTTGGTCTCGATTCTTGAATAGTGAATAGTGTTAGTGGCGCTAGTGCCACTACTGCCACGAGTCACAAGTTCTACGTGCCACTGCCACAGGCTAGTCAAGTGGCACTAGTGCAGTGCAAAGTGCAACGCAAG